TTTGGGGTGATGGCAGTGGTGTAGTCTCATTGTAGTCTACAATGAGAGATGGATATTCATCTACATTATCGTGAGATGGAAGATTCACCCCAGTGCCAGAAGCACTTTGCGACGGCTGCGATAAATCGCGGCGCGTGCGCTTAGTGCTGGACTGCATGGGCGCCTTTGCAGGCGACTCATTAGCCTTACCACGTTTCGGTGGCATGAGAGCTGAGTAGACTAAAGCGGCGCGTTTATAACGGCTCGCAAGTCTCTCTGTCTCTTAGGCGATGTTTTATAAAATGTAAACATCGTTCTAAAACGGGGGATGGTGTAACAGGGTATCTAGTTACACGTAAACATTAAGTAATATACTTAATGTTTGGTCTAAAAGTATCCATGATTACTTTTGACCTGTCACTTGGGTGCGATACACAAATGTGATCCACACTCGTGAATGTGATATCCATTTATGGATTCACATAAGAAGGGATGACGCTAGTTGAAGCTAGGCATCGCGACGTCTCAGAAGGACGTCAGTTGCGATCTTAAATCTAGATTTAAGATCATGCGACAGGATACGCTTCTAAAGAGTCGCGTATCCGATCTATGTATATATAGCCAATCAGTAGTTAAGTATATATTTAGTTATAATTCATTAAATATAGCTCAGTCTTGAATTTACTTAAACAAACGCACCACGCACGAGAAGTTGAAAAGACTTCTGCGTGACGTCGGTGCCTTCTTGTCTTAGAAGTTCGTTGCACTCTCGCTTAAGCGAGAGGCAAATGGTGGTACGACTGCTTAAGCAGTCGACCAACCGCATAACCACCCTCACACGCGAAGGTAAGACGGTGTGACCGCTTCCTCGCTTGTGCTGAAGGTGTGTGCTAAGTAGCACGAGGCAACTTCGTAAAAGTGCCCGTCTACACTTGGTATCAAATGTAATCATAAATACTTTTAGACCTTACATTAAAATATATATATTACTTAATGTTCACGTGTAACTAGATGCCTAGTTACAAAATGAGTTGAAGCAGTTGGTAATACTTGAGGCCGTTTGTCCTAAAACTTCGCAGCAAACGACGTCTCTGTATGCTACCAGCTAGGGGCACGTCAACAAACGGGCATTCAGTATCCCAGGGAAAAAAGGCTAAGAGAGAACAAGTGGTTGGCAGGCTTGCTGCCAATGCACGAATGAGCTGAGGGCTTAGTCGATAAAGTGCCAAATTCTCAGCAAGTTGGCTATCGCAAGAAAGATTCGAGTGTGTTATTAATTACTGTGTGTCTGATGGTACACACCCTGTGTTTTCCTGTATGAACAAGTAACGGTGCTTCTCATAAGTGCTCACGATAATAGCAATTGATTAGTTGGTTGCTGTCTCAGTGCAAAAATCTTGGCTACATCATGGCTGTCTGCAATTTTTGAGGGATCATTGTCTATAACTAGCGTTGTGAACCCCTTTTTATGAGTGAAAGTACACATTACAGCGGCTACAAGGGGGCTAGATATTGTTGTGTTGCCAATAGCTTAAGCCATTTAGTAGGATGACTCGCCGCTTGTGCGGTTGAGCTTGGTTATCTTCAACCATATTAAATGAAGTAACCCTTTTCACGTCGAGGTGGCCACGTACGAGTTAGGCATGGTCAAGGAGAGATACGTCGGCAAGGGACTTATCTAGAACCTGTGATTAGGTTAATCACGTTGCCAGACACCAGCGTGACTTACCTAATCACATGTTCTTTGTACAATGTTACGATTTTTCTGAGACGGGCAGCACCAACTTATCGTATTTTATAGCTTGAGACCATCGACTGACTGTACTACTATACCGGAGACTTTGCAGCACGACAAACTGGGCTTTACCGAATTTCTATCATCTGATTATTGCCAATACGCTCGAACAGAATGGATTGTAACGCAATACATCTATTCACAAAACCAATGAAGTCGCTTAAATGAGTTTTTTTCTCGACTCGACTTTTGGTGGCATTCTGTCTGTATGTCATTTATTTTGGTGCTGCATGATAGATAGAAAGTCATAGGGTTTTAATTGCTATACGTACGTATACCCAACAACCATAACATGCGGCTGTTTCGATCATTTGACTACTTAAAAGCTTTCTCATTTTTAATGACCGATCGAATGAACTTTAAACGTGACCAGCGTATTTTTTCTAGCAATAACTCCTAAGGTAGCTTCCGTTCTACGCAGCTTCTCGTTGATGCGTCTTGTAAAGCCCCGGTCGATTGCAACCTAATGTATGGTGCAAACGGGGTGAGGTCGCCAAGCGATGCCCGCTGATGTTAAGATAAGCACAGTTGTTTGTAAAGATAGAGCTTGCTGCGTAGGAGGCAAATGCCGAGAGAGTAGATAAACCTTCGCCTATGCGATCTACTCTCAATTGTCTTCTTGTCCTTCTTGAGCAGCTAGGCCTTCGCTTAACTGTTTACCACCATAGTGTTGTCTCGCAAATTGGATGAAAGCATGCAGCGTGAACTTTTCCTAAGTTTTATGAGCACCGTTATACCGTGCAGAGTACAACTCATCACCTTCTAACACGTTTGGCAGTAATTTTGTGTACGTTCATACGCCGACTTGGAGCATATAGGCACCTGGCAGCGCTTACCATATCCATGAGCCCAGCAAAAACCATTCGACAGCGCAATGGTATCGCAGTTCTCGAAGTCGAACACGGTGCCACCTCAGCAGACGCTCTCAACTTCGGCTCGGTTGTTACAGCCTGACATCTTACAGTCGCCTTGCTTCCAGCAGCGCTTAGTGTGTTTGGCAGTACACTCCTCAGCGATGCAGACCCACTCCGTTCTGGACTGGCACCGGAGCATCCGAAGTTAAAGGCAATACCAAACGCTTTGGTTTGACGTCATGACTAAATGCGCGTTTACTCACGTTTGCTTCGATCCGTCTTGGATTACGCATCGGACGACGAAAGGGTGTGGAAAGAGTGGCCTTGCTCCTGACGTCGCTGTGATATGGCGAAATGCCAAAAGGTTTTGGGAACCTGTTGCTGCTGCATGGCTGAGTTAGTTGCGAACCGCGAGACTGGAGATACCATTGACCGGCAATGATTTTTCGTGATGACCTCCAACTAGCGTGATGACGTTGCTTTGGGTGTTCAGGGTATAGGCGAATGTGCCAACGCTTGTTTGTCGCGCTCATCCGCCGCGGTTAGTACAAGCATCTTACTGCTAGCAATCTCGCTCGTCGCATTAGTTCCTGTCACCCCAAAAATATATTGATCTCGTCGCACAAGCACCCAGCCGCTTCTCTGCATCGCCATCCGGCAGTGGAGGTGGTAGAGTATTGCCTGTTGCTGTCGTCATGACGCAGTTTACGGCCAGGTTGGCAAGAAAAGTCAGAGCAGCTGGCAGTCGCATCATAAAAACGTTTAGCACCGAATGTTGCGCATACAAGCAAGCAGGCGTTGTGATCCACCCGATGCTACAAGTTGTAGCATCGGATGGATCTTGTAGCCTACAAGTACGTAGTTTCGTCTTGCGTGCGGCCCGCTCACCGCCTTTAATATGACATAAGGTACGCGTAATTTAGTAGAGTGTACACTCATCTATTGCTAGAACTGCAATACCTTGCTTCAAACACTGCTATGGGAACCTGGGCCCAGTGTTTCCTGCAGCTTTCGAGTCCTACTCTAATCATGCAATGGTAGACTCAGCGTCTTGATAATGCAAGACTTCTCTTGCACAGGGAGGACGATAGCACCCCCCCCCCCCCTCATTTTCTGCAGTAGTAAACCTCTCCTTATATTGCTTTAATTGACAGACCGGCTTTCCACTCTAATGCACTATGTTCGCTTCAAGATCGTCCTTCCGTTATTTTTTTGGCAACCTACTTGTCGAAGCGACGATGATGGTCCATGCACCGTTCTAGTATCCCATCAGGTCGTATTATTTGTCGGTTACATACGGTGTGAGCAACAATATGCATCGGAATAAGCTTTCGGTGCGACAGTCTCCAATGAGTTAAGCGCCGATGCAAAGGTCGTTCTGCGTCTAGACATGCACAATATGGCTCCAATTTTTGTGTAGCCGAAAAATTGGTCGCCATGTTGCAGGAACTCTTGGAGCCGTAACTTAAAGCACGATTCGTCGCAATCGGGTTGTCGAGTTGCATGTGGCAGTGTAAAGCATGCCAAAGTTTTCAAAAGACAAATGCAGTCGGCATTACAGACAAGAGACTTGTAGCTTCATGTAGAGGTGATGGCAACGATAACGGTACATCTGATTTATTAAATGAGAAATAAAATCAAGTAATAGTTGTTCAAAAAACGATATGATTTGCCTAAGAAGACGCGCATTGCCCTCACGCTTCAATGCGACGATCGCAGACATATCCTTGCTGTTTAGGGTGTAGATGGATGGTGAATGTTGCAGGTACCTGGCAGCCGTTTTTGTGCAATCTCGACGAAGCTGTGCTGCATGGTTGCATAGCCTACGAGATGACGCGCGCATAACGAGAAAAGAAAACAGTTGCTCAGCAGGTAGAACACGTCGCAAATTTGCTGTAGACGTTGCGCTTGGCTTTGCAAAGCTTTCTACTTTTCGTTTGTACGTGGCAAGAGTGTTTTGTACAATAGCGGTGCACTACTTGACGATGTGTGAGCTAAGCTTGTCGCCCCATTACAGTGATCGCTATATGTACATACTGTGCTTTTGCTTGAGTTACCGAATACGGAGCTACGGAGCTAATGTAAGGTAGCAGCCGCTTCAGGAGTAGGTATGAGGTAGCGACACGCCTTGGACGCACTATTTGCTGCTAAGCTTAGGAGCTTAAAAATAAGACTGGTCGGCTGACTAGTCATACAATAGCTCATGAGTCAGCAACAGCACTAGCTTAACTTTCGGTTTGTGCTCAACGTGCTTAAAAGTTGGTGCATCGGTGCATCGAGTTACAGTGAGCAAGAGGCTGCATGCGTCGCTTCCTTATGGTTAACATATACTATCCGATGATGCTAAGCTTGACACGATAAACTGCAAACTGCTACATGTAGTTGGTCTTGAAGCCGGTCGAGGAATCGAGCTTCTTATAATGCGTCTGGCAGTAGTTCTTCGTGCGCTCATACGCCGGCTTGGAACAGTGGGGCACCTGGCAACGCTTGCCGCCTCCATGGGCCCAGCAAAAGCCGTTCGACACCGCGATGGTATCGCAACTTTCAAAGGAGCAGACGGTGCCTCCTCCATGCGACCAGCAGACACCCTTGGACTTGGCACGGTTGTTGCAGTCCGACATCTTGCAGCGCACCCAGCCGCCGTGCTTCCAGCAGCGTTTGGCGTGCTTGGCACGACTCGTACAACCCTCAATGGAGCAAAACTTACTGCTCTTTTTAATTGCAGGCTTGAAAACTGTTGTAGAAGCTGCAGGGGACATCAATGTCGATGTGGCGCTGCATCTACGCTTGGCTACCGTCGGTTCGCTGAAGGAGTCGCGCTTTCTGTTCTTGGGCTCGTCGGCGTCTGACTCCGAATCGAAGGACAGGATGAAGGACAGTGCAGCCTTGTATCTCAAGTCCTGCGTGATCAGTGTACTTGACTTTTCCGTGGGTTTGTTCTGGGTCATCATGGTGATGCTAGGGAGATGATACGAAGGGGGAGACGGCCTGATACCGACGGCAAAGTTCGAGAACGACGTAGCGGGAAGAACTTGGAGGCGAGCGAAGGACGTGTCTGGCATCATGGATGAGATTAATGGAGATTAAACACTTCGCTTTGCAGGCATAGACACGCTAGGAGACCAATTCCGAAATGATTTCCAAAGAGGCGGCTGAGACCTTATCTGGGGAGCTCAGATTATGTCACGGATTGCACCGAAAGGCTTACGAACGAAAGTGAAAAGCTTTGTTCTGTGACTACCGCTTCGTGCGTGCAAGAAATGACAATGTGCTTTAAAAACAGCTTGCCTCATACGAAGTTTTCTCGGGGAGATTTGCGTCAGAAGTTGGCGAACTAGGGCGACCGAGCGATATAGTGTAGCTTCTTGTGTTTCAACAACCTTTGCATTGCACATCAATGTGGAGGCAACGACGTAAATATATCATCGCACAAGCTTGATGAGCTTGTCCCAAGCACGTATTTGAATACGTCCACCTCTTCCAACCTGTATGCATGTACATAAGAGCGGAGTTCGTCACACCATTGCAATAAAAACATATCGTGCATGGCTTTTTTCCAAGCGTTTTGTTGTTAGGCGTAAACCAGTGGATTCAATCGAGCACAGCCACGGCGTCACTCTGACGGCTCTTTCAACCCGTCTCTTTTGCCGCAGCCGCTCTCTATAATTCGCGACAAGCGAGGGACGTAATCTCGCGACAAGCGAGGGGCGTATGCTCGCAACACGCTCGTTGAGAAGGAGAGTTTGCCATGATCGTATCCTCACTTCTCTTGCAAATTGGCAGTTTTGGGCTGATGGCGGCATTAAAGTTTGGCGTCGTGACCACACGCGAACCTCATTTACTACTTTTAGGTGAATTCTGAATACCATTCACAGAAATCAAGTCGGCCGCATCATGCTCCTCACATCCGTCTGCGAAACTCGCCGTCAAACACCTGCTACTCTCTTTCGAGCAAGTGTTAGCAGCCTGTATCTATTAGCCTTGTACTTGTACATTCAGCTTTGGTCTCCGTCAACGGAGCAAGGTCGATTGACAACATTGTAACAAGGATGAGACTAACTGAGAAAAGCTGTGCGGCATAGACACGCAGTGTCGCGACGAATATCCTGGAATCAATCGTCCCACACATAAAATTTCGAGGTGTTCATCAGAATGACCACAATTGATGAAAATCAAGACCAGACAGCAGTCTCATCAAATCCACAGTTGGTCCTAATGCAAGTGAGCACTTTGAATTGCAGCAAAAGCTACAACCCTGCAATTTGAGCGCTCATTCGTATAAACAACTGTGCGTGCCTCAAACATCACAAGCTCACCATTTGTTTCCAATTGGAATACAACGTCATTATCTTAACCATGAACACATTGTAGTCGGCATGATTGGACGCCTTGGTCTTAACTGGCTGGCGCTTCATTGCTTGTGAGGGCTCTCTACAATGGTCTTGTAGACGCATTGTGTCTAGTATCTGCATCATTGCCGCAATTTAAAACCTGGCATCTCAAAAACGGCGAAGACGTCTGACAACATGAAAAAGCGCCATGTTATTCTCTCACAAGAGCCTGGACCAAGCACGCTTGTGGGGATGGACATGCTAATGCATTTGTTGCTACGCCTGACTTCTTGCGACAGCGAGAAACGAGGCTGCGAGTTGGTACGTTGGCATCACAATGATATGCTAACGCATCTAGGGTTGTTAGCGATGTCTGGACATTGTAAAACAGTGCATGCGATCCAATACACAGTGCAGCCCAGTGTTTATCGTGTGAAAAGGCTTGACAGTATTGCTGACTCAGAGTGGAGAGTCAGGAACTTGCGCACATCCCTCCGCCGTTCATGTGGCTGACCTAACCGGAACTTCTCACGCAGCGCTTTGACGCTGGATCTCTAATTTTTCTTTGCGGACGGCCAAGACAGACTTGTAGAGCAGCAAACTCTTTGCATCGCTCTCAATAGCAGCATGTTGCAGTCCGTTGATCCCCACGCATCATCACAAGCTTTGTCCGCTCAGCAACGCAAGATCTGTCTGCTTAAGGTGATGCCAATCGTTATAAGTCTACAATATTTTTAGTAGCACAAGCATTACTAGCAGTTTCGGCATGAAGTTTGAGTACATTGGTGCGAATTTTCTGTTTTCCGGGTTAATCCTTGTTTCAACTATGTTTAGGCTCTTGCGTGACCAAAATACGTGCTCAAGTATCCATTGGAGATGTGAGTCCCAGTTCGAGACATCTCGATGTAGCGGGTACAAATGGAATCAACAATGATCTTTCCAAAGATACCCAAGCAGTGATGTTACCAGCTATGATAGCTATAGGGAACGAGCTTCTTACGGAAGGACAACCGCCCAAGTCATTCCTGCAGGGGTTGGTTAACCCGCTGAGGAAGAAAGGACGATTCCAAGACGCCATTGACTATCGAACTATCTCACTCCTTTGAATCGGATACAAGAGCTTATCGACACGAGCGCAACAAGTATTGGGACACTTATTGTCGCAGCAAGGTTTCGTCTATGGGAAATATGTGCAAAAACAGTGATGATGATGATGGCCCTATGACAACAGTCACGGTCAGCTCAGCGGAGTCGGGCCATCCTCCTGCTAGACTTTTGGACACGGTTGCGCGAGAAATTCTGTTCTTGGCACTCGGATTCTCCCAGGAGTTTACGGATATGATCCGAAAAGTTCACGACGGTACACGGCACAACTCGTGGTCAAGGGGGAGTTTTGGAGCCACAGGAGGTGGTCTCGGGCATGCGGTCGGTGCCCTCTCGCTCCGTTGCTCTATTCCTAGCGACTATAATACTCGTGTTAGCAATGCAACAGAACAACTAGATTATCTGTAACAGAGCATCTAGTTACACATAACATTAAGTAATATACTTAATGTTTGGTCTAAAAGTATCCATGATTACTTTTGACCTGTCACTTGGGTGCGATACACAAATGTGATCCACCCTCGTGAATGTGATATCCATTGATGGATTCACATGAGAAGGGATGACGCTAGTTGAAGCTAGGCATCGCGACGTCTCAGAAGGACGTCAGTTGCGATCTTAAATCTAGATTTAAGCTCAACGTCAGGATACGCTTCTAAAGAGTCGCGTATCCGATCTATATATATATAGCCAATCAATAGTTAAGTTTATAATTTATTATAATTCATTAAATATAGCTCAGTCTTGAATTTGCTAAATTAAAAGCACCACGCACGAGAAGCCGAAAAGCTTCTGCGTGACGTCAGTGACTTCTTGTCTTAGAAGTTCGTTGCGCTCTCGCTTAAGCGAGAGGCAAATGGTGGTACGACTGTGTAAGCAGTCTACCAACCACACAAAAACCCTCTCACGCGAAGGTAAGACAGTTTAACCGCTTCCTCGCTTGTGCTGAAGGTGTGTGCTCGTAGCACGAGGCAACTTCGTAGAAGTGCCCGTCTACACTTGGTAGCACTAGTAGTCCTTCCCACGACCCATCTTTCTGAGCGTGCGTGTGGTTAAGATGGTCCTTAACATGGACTGGGGTGATTTTCCTCACCTCTCCCAACATCATAGGGAGTTGGCAGAGCATATGGCGCAGGGACTTGGTGAACAAGCCCTGGTCAATCTCTTGCATTGCTCCTCCTGAGCAGCATTTTGCTCAGTTGGAGCAATTTGAGGCGTTTGTGCTCAGACAGCGTAGAAACGCGTCCGAGGTAAACAGCCAAGTCACCGCTGAGTCCATCACTAAGACTCAGGATGAGCTTAGGCTTGAGCAGGCACGTAATGAGGCGATCAACAGAACTGTTGAGACGCTCTCTGCCCGGCCTACTCAACCGGGGCCCATTCGGATGGACCCTCCGAAGTTCGATGGAACTAGCCCTCACACGATTGTTCACTGGCTATTAGCAGTTGAGCAATGTGGAGTGGCGCAGCTCATCGAAGACGACACCAGAATGGTGTCGTATGCCATGTCCAACTTGCGTGGCAAAGCGTCAAAGTGGGCATACTCTGCGCTGATGGCAAATGCTGATGCATTTCCATCATGGGCGATCTTGAAGGCAAAGATTCGCGCCATGTTTTTCAGCCGCCTAACAATGAAGTGTTGCTTATGGCGCGCTTCTTTGGAGCACGACAGGCGAAACACTCTCTGCAAGAATTTGTGCAGGAGATGCGTTCGCTGTCGGCGTCCATTAATGGGGAACCGATACCAGAACGTATCAAGGTGCCTACGTTCATGAATGGACTTAGGCACGGCCCATCGCGTCAGGCCCTTTTCAGAAAGGTGCCAGCGACGATGGAAGAGGCAATTGACATTGCCTTAGTTGAGGAGCAATCCTACAACAGCGCCTCGGCGACAGCCTATTACAGGCCGTCGTCCGAGAAGTCTGATGCCACTCCTATGGAGCTAGGCAATGCAGATGTGATCTTCTACAAGTGCGGCAAGAGAGGCCATATGATGGCTCGTTGCTATGCCAAACTTGCTTCTGGTGCTAAGGCAGCCAGCAAAAGGTCTCCCAACCCGAAGGGAGGTGCGAAAAACCAGCGTGCACGAAGCACGGGTTCAGCACCTGCCCAAGATGGGTCGGGAAATGCGGGAGCGCAGTAGGGGCGGGATGCCCTACTGTCGCAGACGCTGAAGCTACCCCTATGTCCAGAGTGATCGAACAAATGGGTAGCATAGTCCCTGAGGTACCGAAAGGTCGGACCTCAACCCTTTTGGTCTATAGCACTCGAGTACGAGGCTATGACCAAGTGATGACCCTTCTCGTGGATTCGGGTGTATCACAGAACTTTGTGAAACTCGCGGCTCTGAAAAAGAGACCGGCGAGTTATGAGTCGCTTTGCCAGGATGGCAAGCGAGAAGAGGCGATCGTTCGTTTAGCGAACGGCGCGCTCGTTAAATCGGAGGAAGTTCAAGTTGAACTCGCCTTCAGTTTTAATGACTTCTTTTGTAAAGAGAAGTTCACAGTGCTAGGTATGGAGAGTCCGTATGACCTCATCCTAGGGATGCCTTGGTTGGATACACACCAACCATGGATAGACTGGCGTACACGCGCAGTCGCTAACTCTACGCAGGACACCGGAAAGGATGT